CCCCAAAACCCCAAAACCCCAAAACCCCAAAACCCCTCAAAGATCAGGTGAAATTGAAATTAAGTAAGTTTTTATCTCTAATTATTTTATCATAGAACTTGCTAACAAGAGAACCAGGAAATAGAAACAATAGCGTGTTTAAAAAAGGTTAGCTCTTTTTGTAAGCAGCAATTGTGATATCATCTATCATTTTGTCCTTAATTTTCCAACAATTCGTTGCTCATTTGACCAAAGATTTTCAACATTCTTCGAGATTTCCTTCTTTTGATTGAAGGATTTTCTGAGCATAAGAAGGATGCAGGTGCTCCCAGAGGCCATCAGAGCCAATTACAACAGCACTAGCTTCACATAAAATCTCTCTTATTTCTAAAAATTAGAGGAGATATTTACCTGGGTTAGGACTAACTCCAATTGTTTTCGCAATTTTATCTCCAAGAGAGCGGGTCATATTCAATCCTGGAAAGTTCTTCTCTGGGAGGAAGACCCTCTCAGGGCCTATCTGGCGATCAAGGTTGCGAAACCTATCTATTCTGCCTCCAGATTCTATAATTCTATCCTTCTCGGTGAAACTTTTCAGGTTATGCACTCCATTTCAAGGAATTATCTGTGCATTAGATTGAAAGAAATATACCTTCTGGAATCTCTGACTGTGCATATCGGTGAATATGGCTCCTTGAGAATCTCCTACATTTGCTGAAAGAACCCTATCCTTAGTGATGTATAGGACTAAGGCTGTGGTCCCACTCCGAGCCAACTTTCAGCCCTGTGCTGGTCTCTCAAGACTCTAAAATGTTTTAAAACTTGTTATATTTTGGAAGAAACTGACCAAACCATATAACTTGGAGAAGATTTTACTGTCAAATCTGATTATTGGTGATTAAATCTTTAACCTGATGGAAGTGCTTTAAACATGGTTTTTTGAAAGTTGATACTTTTTTTACTTTATAATCAAGACAAATTTGATCAGGGTGGTATAGAAGATCATCCCTAATATATTTTTGCAAGCTTGTCAAAATTCAAGCATCAAAAATTTTCATTTGGTCATAAAATGAGACATAACCAGAAATCTTTCTCCAACAAGTTAATTTTGTAACTTCAACTTACCTCTTCTCCATCACTTGTTGTCGTATTTTGTCAGGATCAGTTCTAAAGTAATTAAAACCTGAAAGATTACCTTACAAATGTTAGACTCCAAAGCTGTTTCGCATTGTTGAAAGGCATCCCTTAGCACTGATTTGTTGATCCCTTTTTCCTTTTTCAGAAATTCTTGGAAGAAGTCATTAGCAAATTGCGAGACTTCATGGCCATATTTCCCATGACCATCAAAGACACCCATCAGGACCGAGCCAGTCTCTTCGAACTTATGAGTGAAGTACCTGTCTTGGTTAGGCTTATTAGGTCTAATAGCGATAAATCCTTTTTGTGAGATTCCAAAGACTTCTCCATTCTCCCTCTTGTACTCAGTTTTAAACATTCTGGAACTAGTAGGGAGCAGGATAATTTTTGGTTTCTCTTTATTCTGGGAGTACATTTGACGGTTTCTAGGAAGATAGGCTTAAAAAGTTACCTTAAAAGCCTCCTGGATTTTTCACTTCTGATGGAAGCATTCCTCTTTACAGAATTTCTCAAGTTTCTTCAGTCCTTCTTTGAGATTCTTATCTCTGAATTGTTAACCAAAATTTATACTCGAGGGAGGTTGGGTGCTGAAATCTGGCATCTGCTGCTTGAGACTTTTGATGTAATTCTCTCTATATAGGATATGTTCTAAGGATTACTTAGAGCCACGAATCTTTCGGCTATCCATCCTAAGAATTAGAGATTCCAAACTCACCGATATTTCAGATTATGTATCCTCATATTCTTGCTAGAATGGAGAGGTTTGCCATCCTGATAGTCCTTTAGCCCATAACTATGAGCGTAATTAATCTTCCTTGATCTATAAGGCTTCATGCTGTTATTTTGAAAAAGTAGGGTTCTAAAGCTGTCACTTCCAAATTTACCAGAAACTGGTAACTTTGTTTCCTCAGACTAGTCTTGGAAAGATCTTGACTGTGGAGTAGCTGCTGAGAGTTTCCTGTAAAAAGACTTCCAGAGATACTGAAATTATTTCTTAGTCTTGTTCCTTAACACCTCTGAAGTGATGTAATTCTCTTGTGAAGCCTTTTGAAAGTGCAGCTGACTTAACTGGCAATCTAAAAATTCATTAAAAAGGTAATTTTGATAGAAAACTCTATTACTAATGACTTACTCTTAGCTGTGAAGATAAATCCAGTAGATTTGAGTCTTTTCTATATATTATCAGTAGTTTTAGTCTGAAAGTTGCCAAAATGACGCAATTTTCAGTGATAGCTTACCTTATAGCCTCTCTCGATTTCCATTATGCTTATCAAAAAATATTCAATATGAAATAGTTCTTTCGGGGTTTTGGGGTTTTGGGGTTTTGGGGTTTTGGGG